TTATCAAATGCATTTTTAGCTTCTATTAGCAGGATCATGAAGTTTTCTATTTTGATTTATAGATGGCATAACAAAAGATTAGAAGTAAATCTGCTTTATGTTCCTAAGATAAAGCCAATTGTTCGCAGTGCATCTTTCTTTCAGTATGCTCCGAAATTCAACTTTTCTGACACTGTATTTAAAAATTTCCATCTATGTTTTAAGTGAATTCATGTCATACATTCCTCAAGGATTACCATAAAATTATGCTGGCTTAATAGAATAAATTGGGAAACTAGCCATATTTTTTATTTTGTTTTGTTCCAATAATGGAATGTTACCTCTAAAGTATCTACAATTGGAATTTATTGATAATTATTATGGTTACTATACATGATCAATCTTTATAGATGTTTAATGGGCTCCAGGGAGGATAATGCATTTCTTGTAGGGAATAAAATTTGGCTGTAACTATAGCTATAGCTATTCAACTTTCCTATTTTATTCAGACCTTTATTTTAATTTATTTACTTTTATTATTTGACTTGTCAAACAGCAAAACAGGTGCTCTTATTTTCTTCATGATGCGCCACACTTATTTATTTATTTTGCCTTCTTTGAGTGCTATTCTATTCATAATGACTCATGATTAAAATTCTTTTGTTTTCTTTTTTTAATTGCCTTTTGTGAGTATTGTCATGATTAAGATTCTTTTAAAATTACCTTCTTTAAATAGAAAAACATATTTGCAAACTATATATCTGAGAAGGGCTTATGAGGAAATTATAAGGAACTGAATTCAACAACAACAACCTGATTTAAAAATGGACAAAAGATCTGATAAGACATTTCTCAAAAGAAGACTTACAAATGGCCAACAGGCATGTTTTTTAAATGCTCAACATTATTAATCATCAGGGAAATGTAAATCAAAACCACAAGGAGATATCACCTCACCCCAGTGAGAATGGCCATTATCAAAAAGACAAAAGGTAAGTGTTGGCAACAATGTGGAGAAAAGGGAGCCCTTATACATTGGTGGGAATGTAAATTGGTACAACCATTATGGAAAACAGTATAAAGGTTCCTCAAAATATTAATAATAGAACTGCCATATGGTTCAGCAATCCCACGATGGAGCATATATCAAAAGGAAATGAAATTAGTATGTCAAAGAGTGATCTGTACTATCACAGCACCATCCACAACAGCCAAGATATGGAATCAACCTAAGTGTTTATCAATGGCTGAAGGGATAAAGAACATGTGCTATGTACACATTTACTGTACTCACCTATTTTCACACCACGGTTGATTGTAGGTAACTGAAACACTGCAAAGCAAAACTGTGGATATGGGGGGACTACGGGTTTCTAGGTTTCTTTAGTAACACACTTGCTTTCAGGTAAATGCTCAGTATTTTGAATATTCCCTTCCTCAGTAAGAAAGGTTCCATGTCGCTTTCTTTTTCTTTTTCTTTTTTTTGAGACGGAGTTTCGCTCTTGTTACCCAGGCTGGAGTGCAATGGCGCGATCTCGGCTCACCGCAACCTCCGCCTCCTGGGTTCAGGCAGTTCTCCTGCCTCAGCCTCCCGCATAGCTGGGATTACAAGCATGCGCCACCATGCCCAGCTAATTTTTTGTAATTTTTAGTAGAGACAGGGTTTCACCATGTTGACCAGGATGGTCTTGATCTCTTGACCTCCTGCCTCTGCCTCCCAAAGTGCTGGGATTACAGGCTTGAGCCACTGCACCCGGACGCTTTCTCTTTTAATAAAGGCACTAATCTCACCATGAGCCACTACCCTCGTGAGCTCAATTACTTTCCAAAGGCCCCATCTCCAAATACCATCACATTGGGAGTTAGTGGCTTCTTCAACATATGCATTTTAGGGGGATACAAGTATCCAGCCCACAGAACCTACCTATGCACTTGATATTTTCCACAAACTGTTATAAACAAAAGACATTGTTTTCAGTTTCTGTTGAATCATTCCTACAACCTGAACAAACTCTGCCCAGTTCGATGGGTCAAATTCTGGATCACTATTCTGGCAGGGCAGCAGGGACAAATAACAGCTAAAATGACTTAAGTTTTACCCCTGAACTGATCAGGATGAGGTTCCAACTCAACCTCTGATAGCAGGACCTGAGTTTTCTCATCTGCAAAAAGGGACTTAAGAAAAATAGCTAGCTATGTAAGTGCTAAATAAGACACTGTGCCAAGCATCTTTGGTAAACATCGAGGTAAATACTATTATTACATGTGTTTTGTTGATGAAGGAATTAAGGCTTAGTGAGGTTAAGTAGCAACGCTGCAAGTTAATCCAAGTCAAAGAGCTTGTATTCCAACCCAGCTCTGATTCTGAAACCTAAGCTGTACAATGATTGTACATTTTACATACGAAGGTACATACAGGGTAATTATTCATAGGTATTATTTTATGTTTATCACTGTGGAAGATGAACCTCCTATATTCAATTCTTTCATTCATTTGTTCCTTCATTCCATATTTACAGAGTCCCTGTTACATGCTGAGCTAAGCACTCTGGCACAGCCGAGCCGAGCCTGCCCTTTCTTCTCTCTTTCATCTCTTGTTCACTCCCCCGGTACTTGATCCAGGAAAAGCTCTGTGATGGAATTCCAAGTTGACAGATTCAGTTCATGAGCCAGGCTGCCTCAGTGAGGGTTCTCCCTGAGGTGGAGCCTGAGACAAGGACTTGAGTAATCTTTCGGGATGCCTCTTTACTGAGATGTCCTTAGGAAGCAGGAGTGAGGGTTGGTGACAATGAGGCGAGGAAGGAGGAGAAGCCAGTGTAAGGATGCCTGATCAAAGCTGCTATTATGGACAGCAGGGCTGGATTCTGCCAGGGCCTCTTGAGCAGTGTACAGAATGCCTGTCTGACAGTTTCCCTGAAGATGAGAGGGGCTAGAGCATTTACCTGCCCACTCTACTCTGTGCTAAATTCACTGGGTTGCCCCAGGAGACTTAAATTTCAGCCTGTACTTCTCTATCCTACAGAGGCTGGGGGAAGAATGCAGAGACTCCACATATGTGCGAGGTGGGTCACTAGTGCAAGGTGAGTGTGAGCCACTGCAGCTACAGCTGAAAGCTTGTATCTCATACACATGCTTCCTGCCTCCCCGCTCATGGCTCCAGTTCCAGTCTCTCTATACTTCATATCACAACACGTTTTATTCAAAGCAATAGCCCTCAGCACCAGGAAAAGGTTAACTGATGTTCTACTAACTTGGTTTACCTAGGGAGCAGCAGTAGGAGAAGTTTGGCGGTATAATTTGAAAAATGTCCCTGGCCACCAGGTCACAGGTGAAAAATCCCTGGCCCATAGGCATATTCTCAAAGAAAGCCATTCCTCTTCAACTCAAACATCTAGAGTTGCTACTGCCATGTGCAACTGAGGACATTGACTGATATAACCCCCGTGACACTGGATAAATGGCGTTTTGCTGTATGATATTTGGCCTATGTTATTATGAGGAATTAAGACTGGATTAGTCCTAGCAATAACAATAAACTCTAAGATTATCTGTGTAGGTCAAAGTACCAAGAAACATGAAACATTCAAAATTGGAATTTTTTTTTCTACCAAGAGTCTGAAAATTCAAAGACAGCCCAATCACTGTATATAGAAAGCAGATTTTTTGGCACACGGTGAAGGAAATTTTTCTATTAAATTATTGCTGCCCTTACAACTGGGGCTCCTTGTAGTTTAGATTGTTTCTTTTGTCATTATGTGCCAAGTATTTTACACAAAAAGATAAAATGCAGCAAAGATAAATCCAAGTAGAACGGCTGTCCTTCATGGACAACTTCCATTCTTTGCTGGATTCTGACTGATTTCCTCAGTTCAGAGTTCTAGAGAGCAATCAGAGGTGCATTTTTTAAGATCATGAATTATAGAACTTTACAACTTGAAAACCAGAGTCCAATCTTCTTGTTTTGAGGTTTCACAACTAATCAGAGTCAGATATAGATTAGTAAAACCCTGGTGTATTGTTCCTTCTCTGCAAACACATCTGTTCGAAAAGAAGCAAGTGTGATTCTGTCCTGCACAGACATTTATTTACAGCATTTTTTTCTGTCCATGGCTCTCAAATCAGGGATTTTGCTGATGCAACAGATGGACAAAGAGATGAAATTCAAAATGGCCTTGGTATTTGGGAGGGAGGAAAATGTATGTGCTGGGCTTCAGGGCTTTTTCCTGAAAGTGGCCCCCATGTGGCAGCACGTTCCTTCCCTTCCCTGGGTTCTCCCCTGAATTCCAGATTTAGTCAAATTTATTTCTCCTCAGGGTCCTTTTAGTTTCTGCTTAATGAGACCGGGGGTTGCTGAGTGTTTGATTGACGCTTGGTTATGTACGGCCTGTATTCATCTTCCTGAGAAAGGACATTGCACAAGAAAGGATTGCCAGTGGCAACCGTGGTGGCATTTCTGAGAGCATTCCCAGCAGCTCTGTTCCCCACCCCAGTGGAAGGAAACCCCACACTGACCAGCGGATGGAGGGACGGAGCGAGGCGTGACGCCCAGAGCAATTATAATATCCCTATGCACAGAGAGAACTTGGGTTCCTTTTAGTCAACATTAGACCTGCTCACTTTTTACCCACATACAGTTCTCCTGATTTCTAAGCCACCTGAGCCAAGTCTAGGCTGGAGGAAAACACTTCTAAAGTAAAATCAGATCAGTTGCAAAGGAGTTGCAACATCTCCATTAGCTTCATGGATCAAATAACATTTCCATGTCAGACTCAGGCACCCGAACTGATTTCTTTGCTGGAATCCCCCAGCTAAGAAATGCAAATCTCTGGGCAGCCTATAGCAAGGTCCCAAGCAATGCCCTTGGTGGCTTAGCCAGGACACAGTGACTTGGAATACAGCTTGCTAAGCGTGTGGCCTGGCTAGGATGGTGTAACTGGCAAGCTAGCTGGAACAAGTTCTTCTGCTTCAGGCCAGTGAATATTTATGTCAGGCCAAGAGTAAAGAAAATGGATTTCACTTACTTTGTATCCTGTGTATTGCCTGGGGATTGGTGGCAAGTGAAAGCAGTTTTTTGTGTAGGTAGCACTTCTGGTAGCTCCAGCTAAACTTGCTGCCTGTGCCCTCCCTTTCTCTCCACCTCTCCTTTCCTCTTCAGGACGAACTCTGCACACTGCACATAAATATGCAGGACAGAACACATCCCCTGGTTTCAAGTGGCCCTAGATTTTAATAAAGCTGGATGGTCCTTCAAATTCAAGCTTTAAAAACCTTCACATTGAAAAGAAAAAAACACCCCCACACTTTCATAGAGGTATAATCGACACAAAATAACCAGATGTGCTTAAGTGTACAGTTTGATTTTTCCTTTTATTTTTAGTTGACACATAATGGTACATATTTATAGGATACAGAGTAATATTTTAATGCATGCATACAATGTGCAGTTTTCAAATCAGGGTAATTAGCATATTTATAACCTCAAATATTGATCATTTTTTGGTGAACATTCAAAACCCTTTTAGCTTTTTGAAAATATACAATTATTATTTGTAGTCACCCTATAGTACTATAGAACACAAACTTTTTCCTTCTATCTGCTTGTAATTTCCTGTCTGCTAATCACCCTCTCTGTATCCTTCCCTCCCTCCTATTCTCAGCCTCTGATAACCACAGTTCTGCTCTCTACTTCTATGAGCTCAAAATTTTTTAGCTCCCACATAGGAGTGAGAATGTGGTTTTTGTCTTTCTGTGCTTGACTTATTTCATTCAACATAATGTCCTCCAGGCTCATCCATGTTGCTGCAAATGACAGGATTTATTCTTTTTTATGGTTGAATCGTATTCCATTGTGTATATTTACCACATTTTCTTTTCTTATTTTTTGAGGTAGAGTCTCGCTCTGTCGCCCAGGCTGGAGTGCAGTGGTGCTCTTGGGTCACTGCAATCTCCACCTCCCAGGTTGAAGAATTTTTCCTGTCTCAGCCTCCCCAGTAGCTGGGATTATAGGCATATGCCACCATGTCCAGCTAATTTTTTATTTTTATTTTTAGTAGAGACAGGGTTTCACCATATTGGCCAGGCTGGTCTCTAACTCCTGACCTCAGGTGATCCTCCCGCCTTGGCCTCCCAAAGTACTGGAATTAAAGGCATGCCACCCACCTGGTCCCACATTTTCTTTATCCATTCATCTTTTTTTTTTTTTAATTATACTTTAAGTTCTGGGGAACATGTGCAGAATGCTGCAGGTTTGTTACATAGGTATATGCATGTGCTATGGTGGTTTGCTGCATCCATCCCCCATCATCTACATTAGATATTTCTCCTAATGTTAGCCCTCCCCAATTCCCCACCAGCTGCTGTCCCTCCCCTGGCCCTCCAACTCTCTAACAGGCCCCAGTGTGTGATGTTCCCCTCCCTGTGTCCATGTGTTCTCACTGTTGAACACTCACTTATGAGTGAGAACATGCAGTGTTTGGTTTTCTGTTCTTGTGTTAGTTTGCTGAGAATGATGGTTTCCAGCTTCATCCATGTCCCTGCAAAGGACATGAACTCATCCTTTTTATGGCTACATAGTATTCCATGGTGTATATGTGCCACATTTTCTTTATCCAGTCTATCTTTGATGGACATTTGGGTTGGTTCCAAGACTTTGCTATTGTGAACAGTGCTGAAATAAACATACATGTGCATGTGTCTTTATAGTTGAATGTTTTATAATCTTTTGCCATTCATCTGTTGATGAGCATTTAGGTTGATTCCATATCTTGCTATTGTAAACAGTGCTGCAATAAACATAGGGTTGCAGATATCTCTTTGACACACTCATTTCATTTCCTTTGGGTAAATGCTCAGTGGTGAGATTGCTGATTATATGGTAGTTCTATTTTTAGTTGTTTGAGGAACCTCTTACTGTTTTCTATTTGGTTTGTGCAAAAGTAATTGCAATTTTTGCCGTTTCTTTTAATTGTGGTTTTTGCCATTAAAAGTAACAACAAAAATGCAATGGCTATTATATCATAACAATATAACAGCTATACTAATTTATATTCCCTCCAACAGTGTATAAGAGTTCCCTTTTTCTCCCAATTGCCACCAGCATTTATTATTTTTTGTCTTTTTGATAATTGCCATTCTAACTGGGGTGAGATTATATCTCACTGTGGTTGTTTTTTGCCTTTTCTTCAAGGATTAGTGATGTTGTGCATTTTCTCACATACTTGTTGCCCATTTGTATGTTTTCTTTTGAGAAATGCCTAGGCGGAGCCTTTGCTGATTTTTCGATGGGATTTTTTTTTTTCCTGGATGTTCAGTTGTTTGAATTTCTTGTATATTCTAGATATTAATTCCTTGTTGGGTGAATAGTTTGCAAATGTTTTCTCCCATTCTACAGGTTGCTGCTTCATTCTGTTGTTTGTTTTCTGTGCAGAAGCTTTTGATTAGTTTGATACAGGCCCATTTGTCTATTTTTGCTTTATTCGCCTGTGCTTCTGAAGTCTTCCCCATAAAGCTGTTTCCTAGACCAATGTCCTGAAGCGTTGCCCTTAGGTTTTCCCATTTGATAAGTTTTGGCAGATGTATAGGTCACTTGATTGTGGTAAAGCTGACAACATAACCAAGATCATGAACATACTCATCACCCCCTAAATTTTCCTCTTGCCCCTTTGTCTTCTGTTTCTCTCTTCCATTCCTGCTTCCTGACTTTCCAAAGCCCCACTCCAAATCCCCAGGCAACCATTGATCTGCTTCCTCTCAGATTAGTTTTTATTTTCTAGAAGTTTATGTGAACGGAATCATACATACTCTTCTTTGTCTGTCTTCTTTCACTCAGTATAATTATTTTGAAATTAATATACGTCAAGTGAGCTTTATTAGTTTGTATTTTTCAAAGACCTCATCCATTTTATCTAAGTTGTTGCATTTATCGGAATAAAATTGCTCATGATACTTCCTTATTATTTTTGAAAGTCTATAGAATTTGAGGTGCAGTCACTTCTTTGATTTCTAATATGAAGGATATTTGTTTTCTCTACTTTCCCCCTGATCTTTCTAGGTTGAGATTCATTAGTTTTATTATTTATTCATCAGTGTTTATTTATCTTCTCAAGCAAGAGTTGTTGCTTTCATTGCTTTTCTCTATTGTTTTTCTGCTGTATATTTGTTGATTTTTGCTTTGATATTTATTATTACTTCCTTCTGCTTTACTTCCTTGCTTTAATTTGCTCGTTCTTAAATTTCTTAAGGTGCAAGTTGAAGTCATTGATTCGGAAACATTCTTCCTTCTAATGTAGGTGGCTACTGCTATACTTGCATCTCTGCCGTTCTAGCAGCATCCCACAATGGAATTCCATTAGAAGTCGGCATAATATAAATCCTTGTACAATATAGTTCTCTTAAATATATACGGATTTGTTTTATTGCTCAGAATGTGGTCTACTTCGATAATTGTTCTATATGCACTTGGAAATACTATATATTCTGTTATTATTGTGTGGAGTGTTATATAAAGACCAATTCGGACAAGTTGACAGATAGGGTTGTTCAAGAGGTCTATATCTTTTTTGATTTACAGTCTGTTTTTTCTATCAATTACTGAGAGACAGACATTGAAATCTGACAATTATGAATTTAAAAATGTTCTCTTTTTAGTTATGTCAGCTTTTGTTTCATGTATTTTTGAAGCTCTGTTATTAGATGTACACAGTTTTGGAATTGCTATGTTCTCTTGACCCGTTTATCCTTGTGTAATGATCTTTTCTATCCATGACAGTATTCTTTACTGTAAAATCTACCTGTCTAATATTAAAATAGCCACACTAGCTTTATTTTGATTAATGCTAACATAACATATCTTTTCCCATTTATTTGAATTTCCCATTGTTGCTATAATGAATTATCAAAAACTTAGAGACTTAAAACAGCATAATTATCAAAAATAAGTCTCACTGGGCTAAAGTTAAAATGCCAATAGGGTTGATTCTCCTGCCTCATCCTCCTTAGTAGCTGGGACTACAGGCATGTGCCACCATGCCCAGCTAATTTTTTGTATTTTTAGTAGAGATGGAGTTTCACCATGTTGACCAGGATGGTCTCGATCTCTTGACCTCATGATCCACCTGCCTGGCCTCCCAAAGTCCTGGGATTACAGGTGTGAGCCACCGCACCCAGCCTCTTTGCTTTTTCTAGATTCTGGGGGCCTCAGCTCATGGGCCTTTTCCTCCATATTTAAAGCCAGCAGCATAGCCTCATTACAGGGAGATCCAGGAGGGCGCAGAGTGAGTGCTAGCTGTGGCATGACCATGCTCTGTGTTTCATAAGAAATTAAAGCATTGTACAAAAACTAGGTGGTGCTACTGTATTTACTCATGAAGGCATCTGGGAACATTCAGCCTGGAGAAGCAAAGACTCAGCAGGACAGAATGATTATATTGAACTATCTGAAGAGCTTTGAAATAAAGGATAGAAGTATGTGTGTTGATGACTAGCAAGACCTAACTTTCTTGTCCCATGTGGGTGCTGCATATACAATCACATATGACCCGTAGTTACCGGGAGAGGACAAATCCCATGTGCATGTCGCCATCAGTCATTCTGTCTGGGAGAAGAAAGGTGGAAACACACAGATACGAAGAACAGAACCCCCAGTCTTGGGCATGAGGCTGAGGAGGGTGTCTAGGGGTTGCTCTTGGTGTCCTGCCCATGTCCCCTCTGGCCTTACTCTTGTAGTTCCAGACTTCTCACACCCTAGGGCTTTCTTTCAGCAGGTGAGAGGTGTCTGAAGATTAGTTCCATTTCCCCTACTCAGCAGTCCTCAACCAGGGACTGATGAAAGCTGGTGTACAGATTTTTCGGCTCCCTTGCCCTTGGGGCTTGATAACTCGGAGGCACTCATTCTAACCGACTCCTTTTGTTTCCAAATGGATTCATGCTCCAGTTACAGCAGATATTAGCTGTACCCCATTTATTCATTGCTTCCTCTTTGCTTACTTCCTCTCTTCTCCTTCAGTGTTCCATGGGATCACCTGCCTCCAAAACTTCTCATACTTGAGTCCTTATATCAGGATCTGCAACTGAACTAAGCAGGGAAGGCAGAGGGGATAGGGCTACAATACAAACTCACATTTCACCCACTTTCCCAGTAAAACCAGAACATCGAAAAGATA